AAAGTGACCATGCAGTAGGAAAGCCCACCTAGATTTGAAACTGCTAAGGAACATCAAGAGGAACAAAGAATTCTTCTATTGACATGTCAGCGGTAAAATGTAGGCTAGATAAATATCGTTCAAGGACTGAAAAGTGCAGGAGACGTGATGACAAAGAATATGGAAAAGGCCATGTACACAATGACATTGTTACTTTCGTTAGTGGTCAAACCAGCCTTCAGGAATCTCAGGTTCCTATGACTGGAGGAAAAGCTCAGGGCCAAGAAGATTCACTGTGGGTAGAAAATGATCAGGTTAAGTAACAGACAAATAGACCAGCCACGTACAAGTGCCAGTAGGATGCATCCAGAGGAACAGTGTGTGAGCTTGCTAATGTCACTGTGAGGCCACTCTTGATTATCTTTATAAGGCTGTGGCAAATAGGGAAGGTCTCTGAGAACTGGAAGAAAGCATGTACCCCTCCTACCTTCAAGAAAGGCAGGAAGAAGGATCTGGAGAGCTATAAACTGCCCAGCTTCACCTCTGTTGCTGGGGAAGGTGGTGGGGCAAATTATCCTGCGAACCATTTCCAAGTGTTTCAGGGATAAGCAGATGATTAGGAGTGGTCAGTATGGATTTATGATGAGGGAAACTAGGCTTATGAAGTTCAGGAAATATAGTCCTGCACCTGGGCAGGAATAGCTCCAGGCACCATGACAGGCTGGGCACCAACTGGCTGAAGAACAGTTAGGCAGAAAAAGTTGTGACATCCTGGTGGTCATCAAGTTGACCTTGAGCCAGCAATATGTCCTTGTGGCAAATGTGGCCAATGGCCTCTTGGCCTGTGTTAGGAGTGTTGCCAGCACACTGAGATAGGTGATCCTATCCCTGCTTCTCAGCCCTCATGATATACATTGGATCCAGTATCTAGCTCTGAGCTCCCCAGCTCAAAAAAGAGGTGGACATACTGGAGAGAGTACAGCAAAGAGCCTCAAAGATGATGAAAGATTAAAGTATATCAAGGGAGGCTGAGAGAGCTGGGATTGTTCAGAAGACTTCTCTGGATAAGGGAAGGCTTGGGGGATACAACTGATGCATAAATACCTGATAAGAGGTTGCAAAATAGATGGAGCAGAACCTTTCTCAGTGGTGTCCCATGAAATCACAAAAGGCAATGAACACAAACTGATATACAGGAAATCCCATTTAAACATGAGAAAAAGTGTCTTTAGTGCTTAAACACCAGAACAGGTTGCCCAGAGAGATTCTGAAGTTTTCATCATTACACATACTCAGCCTGACCAGATTCATCCCTAAACAAACTGCTCTGTATGATCCTACTCTGAGCAGAAGGATGGACCAGATGTTCTTCAGAGGTATCTGTCAGTATCAACTATTCCTTGACTCTTGGAAGGTTTAGCCAGCACACAGCACCCTTGTAAGAACTGTACAGGCAGTAAACTCTTCACACCACCGTAGGACAACGTAGCCCTCTCTACTTCTTAGGTAAAGGAGAAGCCTATGGCATTATCTAGCTGGCTGTGTATGGAATCACATGTGCAACCACTTATGTTTGCTTAGTAGTTATCCTGAACACTCTGCTTACAGTTCAGAGAAATTAAAAATGTATATACAAGGAAGACTGCTGGTGAGAAATCATAGCTGGCTTTGCTTCACAGTTCTACCACTGGCAACACGGGCAGGTCTGGCATGTAACGCCAGTGTCACCACACAAAAAACCCTGTCCACAACAGAGAAAATATCCTTATGGGACCTAGTGGAATGTCACTGGCATTACCAACTCTCTCTTCCCATGTTTTCCTCTAATTCCCTCAAACAGACTTATTTTGGCTTGAAAAATTCCATGTATGTACTTTGGCCAGACACAAAGCTTTTTGCATCCTTTCAGCAAAAGCTGTTAGTTTTTAGCTCTCTCTGCTTTTCTGCAAATTACTTCCAAACAAAAATAGTTCCAGAAATGAGTTCCAACTGTGAAACATTTCCAACAGAATACAGGGTGAGTTTGTCTGATCTGTTAAAATGTTGTAAAAGCACAAAATATGCTGAATCTAATGATCAAATCTGTTACAGTCCAAATTACCACATATAGGAAATCAACATCTGTGGCTATGCACTTACATTAAGACCTGAAAAGAGATAGAAGATTTTTTTTGCACATCACATTACACATCTCTAAACCACATCAATCCAGCTGGAATATAAAATAAATGAATATTTTCTGATCTTCATCTATTTAAAGGAAAAATACCAAGAGTAGTTTAAATAATAGAAAGGGTATTTCTAATACCACAGTTATCCACAAATCATGACCTTGTTTGCATATATTGTTTTTTCAATAGTGTTTGGTTAAAGAAAAAAAATGAACTTTCTTTACAAAACGTCTAGCTGTTTTAAAAAAAAAAACACAGGGTGAAAAAATCTGGAAAGAAACCAGCTAAATGTAATCTCTCCCTTTCTAACCTGGAGACGCTTCAATATCCTACTACCATTTTAATACAACCTTGTGCTGCAGAGTATAGGCTGCTGCTGAGTGATACTTTTTCACTGGTGTTCAGAAGAGGGAAAACCACAATGCAGTCATGATTTAGTCCTGTTCCTATAGTGTTTCTTTTTCTCCTCTTATCCTACAGCACATTCTAACCTGCCTTGTGTGAGCTCTTCCCTGCAAACTTTTTCAAGTAATTAACAGCAAAACAATACTCAGACAAGGCTCAAAACTCAATACAAGATATTTGTTCATCTTCACTTCTTGCTGGCATAGAAATAAATCTTCCATATAATTATCTATCACAAACAGCAATCTGGATAAGCAAAAGGCTAAATTAGCTTGCTGGAAAACAATAAAAGACTGCACTCATGATTTTAATATGCACTCAGGAAACCTCAGAGTTCTGTAGAAATTGAACTGGTTTCTGCAATATATCCTGTGATTTTACTTCTCATTTAGACACTTAGTATGAAACAAACAGAACAAAATCCCCAAACAAAAAGTAATGCAGTCAAACAAGGGCATAATGAGGAATTGTGCTGCTAAAAGTGGGAGGCTGGCACTATCCTTTGAGCAGAACTATTTGGAAGAGCAGATGAGAACAGACAACAGACTTGTATGAAAGCCAGAGTGCAAATAGAAACATTTTCAAAATCAATTCAGAGTCCCCAGAGAAGACATGGAATCTGTCTGAATTCAAAAGTACAATGGAAAGGCATGAGAAGACCATGCCTGATGCCTGGAGATCAAGCCACATACACATAAACTATAGACTAAGGGTGATCATATAGGCCCAAGGCTCCAGGCAGTGCTGCAGTATAGCAATGCTGTGAGAATCCTAAGTCTGCTCTACTGAGAGAGGCAGTCAGGACATAACAAAGGGAGCAACTAGGAAAAGGAAAGTAAGAGGAAGGAGGAAAGCAAGAATCTGAAAAACCTGGGAAGGGTTTTCAGGACTGTCAAGAAAGTTGAGAACAAGAGAGATTAAGAAGGACAAGGCTCTCTTCTCTCAAAGGATCCTAATTTGGGGACAAGACAGATTCAAGAGTGACACGTGCTTCCACATCTGTCCATCTGCATGGGCTGCTCATCACTCAAGTTGTGATGCAGTAACTGAAGCCCAAATACCTGTGAGTAGCCTCCTGATAAAAGACTAGACCTGCAACTGACATGACTGGCACTTAGGGCTGACATATGCATTGGTCAGGACCATCAGTCCAACGGGGACAAATGCAATAAAAACATCAACAGTGGAGTACAGCAAAGCCCTGGTCTTAGCCTACAGACAGACATGACCAAAATCTACACATCTGCCTGCTTTGTTGTTCTTTGTGACAGGGTGCTGCACAGAGCAGGGATACTGCAGGAAGATCGCAGGTTACAATCTTCACAAATTGCCTGAACAGACATTGTCAGCCACCTTTCCTTATCTTCCTGCTGTCACACACAAGTACCCTTGTCATGCTAAGTTTGTAAACACAATTCCCTGTTGTAAGTTCAGAGTTTCTCACAGACTTTGAATACCAATGCTTTTAGAGTGTTTAAGCAAATATTTTCCTTGCCTTGTCTAGATCTTTCATTCTCATTAAAGCAGCATGCACTGAGACCAGAAAACCACACATGGATACTGACACCAGTTTCAGTTCTCCCCCTTTTCCAAGGGCCATATGGTTCATGGTGGAGAGGATGTGATACTTCTCTGGGAATTAGCACTTGTCTTTTCTAACACTGATCCTCACTTCTTCTTTTCCCTGGAGCTAGAACAAAGGATGAGAGCCATGGCAAACCAATCCTGTTTACATCCTCCACCCAGCCCTAGCCTGAAGTGTGGGTGCTAACCTCATTGAGTTGCATGTGCTACTGGATGTGCTTG